CTCACTCCCACATCTCAATCTCTCTTTCTCTCACTCCCACATCTCAATCTCTCTTTCTCTCACTCCCACATCTCAATCTCTCTTTCTCTCACTCCCACATCTCAACCTCTCCTTTTCTCTCACTCCCACATCTCAATCTCTCCTTCTCTCACTCCCACATCTCAACTTCTCCTTCTCTCACTCCTACATGTCTTCCAAAACCACTCACCTTGCGTCATCTCAACTTCTCCTTCTGTCACTCGGCGGGCCAGTGCCAGCTGTCTCCGTGCCGCCTCCTCTGACTGTGCACACACCACCGCCCCAGTGGCCTGCCCGCGCGGCAAAAACACAATCAACTTTCAGTTTGGGGAAAAGAGATATATCTTTTTGAGGAGGTTACCACAGTCCTTAACCCTATCCGTATGGTCATTTTGTACCCCTGGGGTTGTATTCTTCACATTTTAGAATACTTCTAGGGTGAAGATCTCTTTGAAACTTTCAGTATTTCTCAAAAAAACATTTTGACAGACTACTATGCAAAGCTTACGGATCGGATTAACGAGTAAATTTCCTCTTTGGAAAGTGGTGGCACAGAATTCCGCATGTTGTATGGATAGGATAGTAAAACACGACGTAGAGATAGGGTTAAAGATACAACAGATATAACAGTCTACCACAGTCGTTCAAGATACAACAGATATAACAGTCTACCACAGTCGTTAAAGATACAAAAAATATAACAGTCTACCACAGTCGTTATAGATACAACAAATATAACAGTCTACCACCGTCGTTAAAGATACAACAGATATAACAGTCTACCACAGTCCTTAAAGATACAACAGATATAACAGTTCTTAAAGATACAACAGATATAACAGTCCATAAAGATACAACAGATATAACAGTCCATAAAGATACAACAGATATAACAGTCCTTAAAGATACAACAGATATAACAGTCCTTAAAGATACAACAGATATGACAGTCTACCACAGTCCTTAAAGATACAACAGATACAACAGTCCTTAAAGATACAACAGATATAACAGTTTTTAAAGATACAACAGATATAACAGTTCTTAAAGATACAACAGATATAACAGTCCTTAAAGATACAACAGATATAACAGTTCTTAAAGATACAACAGATATAACAGTCCTTAAAGATACAACAGATATGACAGTCTACCACAGTCCTTAAAGATACAACAGATACAACAGTCCTTAAAGATACAACAGATATAACAGTTTTTAAAGATACAACAGATATAACAGTTCTTAAAGATACAACAGATATAACAGTCCATAAAGATACAACAGATATAACAGTCCATAAAGATACAACAGATATAACAGTCCTTAAAGATACAACAGATATAACAGTCTACCACAGTCGTTAAAGATACAACAGATATAACAGTTCTTAAAGATACAATAGATATAACACAGTCCTTAAAGATACAACAGATATAACAGTCTACCACAGTCGTTAAAGATACAACAGATATAACAGTTCTTAAAGATACAATAGATATAACACAGTCCTTAAAGATACAACAGATATAACAGTCTACCACAGTCGTTA